ATGATTTAAAAACAAAACAAAACCTATCTTGTTTTTCTGGCATTATGTGACTCTTCGGACCTTCTCCAAGCCTGATGAGAGCACTGACTGAGAACTGACGCAGCGTGAGAACTAGCCAGTACGGCTCTATGTGAGATGGTGTTGCTCTACAGCTCTTCAAGTACTTTCTATCTGTGGGTATTGGCAAGAAAGAAATATGTAAGAGCAAGGCAAACAGGCAAAGCTATGGTGAGACTGAGAAAAACTAGTCTCAGTATTACATTCCTGATGTCCATGTCTTTTATTCGAATGATCATTATCCATTAATGGCTTCACAAGTATGAATAAGTAAATAGTTAGGGAATGCATTATTCATGAATCACTAGGCATTAATTATTGTAATTAAGTATCATTTGCTACGATCACATTACTAACCCTTGCAGTTAATGAATACATTAGCTAATTGCTGCAGTGCCAATTCAATCAAAATTCTGAGTGCCTGTGCTATGGAAGCCTGAGAGAGTTTTACTGAATTCAGATTCAATATTGAACATACCTTACATGCTTATCAGTGTATTTTTAATGACACTAAATGTGAATTGTAACCTCCAGTGCATGATGCTTGTCCTTGTGCCCTGGAGGATCAAATGATACCAGCTGGAAGCAACAGCAGCACACATCAGAGAACACAGCATTAGCTACCTAAAGCAGAACTTGTATTCTGGGATGTGAAATCTAGCACTGCTTTCAAGTTTCATGTATATTCACAAGTACAATAGGAGAGGGTATGCTTGGTGAGGAAGTGCTGTCCCAAAGGTGCAGCTGATGATAATGCTCAAAAAACAATTTTAAAGCACATCCTGAGCTGTTTGCCAGTCAGCATAGGGATTGCATTTGCCTCAGCACAGGGACTGCGTTTGCCTTTTGCTATGCACAGCACAGACAGAATGGGCTTTGGGGCCTAATGGGACCTCAGAGCACTCTTGAAACACAAAGTAAAAGGATCAACCAAACTTTGCATTTATTTTATTTTACTCTCTGAAGATGTATTGCAGGTAATAGTTGTCTAAGTATTATAGAATGATGACCTGATGGAGTTTTTTTTTTTTTTTTGTGGCTATTTTTTTAGGCTATAGTAACCAGTGGTTCTTGAGGTAGTATTTTGAAGAACTTTTCAGTGTCATTTATAGGGGAAATCACTATATCAAACTGCAGAAATTAGAGTTCAAGAGCTAAAAGATGATTTAGACAAGTAGAATGCCCGTCCAGCTGGACCTCTGGGTGTCAGGCCAGGGAAAATACTTGCAGTGGAAAAAAAAAAAAAAAAAAAAGGGAAATCTGATTTAATTCACTGTGAGTTTGAAGCATATTTTTTGATATTTTTTGTTTCGCTAACTTATTATAGTCACATAGCAAACAGCACTGAGCAAACTGAGTATTGAATCTAGTTTCTTACAGATTAAATTATCTGGGACTAAAAGAATTCAAATAAGCATTCAGCATCAAGGATTCTTTCACAAACCCATGGGTTCTTTTTGGCTAAGACTGTGACAGAATGCTGCTGGCAGAACTTGAATTGCGCCAGCAGAGGAGCATCACTCAGAACCTGTTTTTTAAGGGTCAGAAGTAAGAACTATTGTCAGTATAGCAACCCTAAGTTTTCCATTCTCTATTTGCATTTCCCCAGTGCAATACTGCTCCTTTGTTTCTCACGCTCGTTAAAGAATACCCTTTTGTTCCTCCCACAGCTGATGCAGATCCTTTTGATCCCCCTTTTAGTACCTCAACCACTGCTGTCTTTCCCCTCTTTTCAGAAATCTCTTTTTCCTCTTCAAGCTCTATCACTGTTACTTCTCATTACCCATGTTTATGAATGACAGTTACTGAGATGAAAAAATATTTGAACCTTAGTGTCAAAATACAGAGAGATCCATTACTGCTAGTATCAGTGCTCATATCATCACAAGCCATACCTCCCAAGACAGTGAGCTTGCTTCTTTGCTTCCATTCATCTATGAAGATCTTGCTGCTGTATCTCAATTTTAAACATTAAAATCTTTAACTTCTTAGATCGTAAAAAATCTTTGCAATTGGATGTACTTACAAAAAACTAGTGCTTAGCAAAGCTTTTTTCATCTTTGCTTCTAAAGCTGTTTCCTTTTAAAATGGCTTATCTTTCTTTGAAAGTATATATTGAAAAAATAATTTTAATTAATCTGGAATTTGTTTCCTTTTTCTGTTTAACGTTATAAACTACAAATATGAAGTCCATTCTCAACTAGAGATCTGCACAGGTCAGAACCAGCCTATAGGCTATGATGTAACTCAAAGGGAAGAAATGACCTGTCAGAATGTTAGCAGAGGCCTTCCAACACCCAGCAGTTTTGTAAGTATTGACAGTACAAAAGGAGAAAGCAGGTAACGAGTCACTTTGAGCCCTGCAGACCCTTTAAGCGCTCCTTCTCTGAGCTGCTGATTTGGGTCTTGTCTGTTGGGTTGTGCTATGCAACTGCCCTTGGACACGTAACAGAGCTGCAGCTGGGGAGGCTGTGGCAGCTGAACGGCTGCCCTGGGCACTGCCAGCATTACTGCAGAGCAATGGGGAAATGCAGCCTCTGCTGGTGTGTGTAAAGTGGTAATATCAGAAGAAACGGCACACTTGAAGCAAATGGACAGAGCTGTCAGCAGGAAATGAGAAGCAGACATAGAGACAAAGGCAGAAGGTTTATTTTGTGCAAAGACAGGAAAGTTTTGTACACGTACATGATGTAGTTGAACATATGGAAATATAGAGGGGAGAGGAACACAGCTGAAGTCAGGAGATGTTTCATGATGACAAGGCATTAGAGGAAGGAAAAAATTAAATTGTATTAAAGTTTTGTAGCGTGTACTTAAAGACTGAACTGCTGCTCTGCAGGTAACAAACTCTAAATGTACATGAAAGCTCACACGTTACTTTAAATCCATATAAAACTGTTTGCAGTCATTATGATTCTGGTATTGAATAGAAGGAGTTTTGGAATCTCCATACAGATATATTTGTTGGTTTGCATACTGCACTTAGAGCTATTGCTTGTCAGGCATACTGTTAATACATGTATTACTTTCTAGCTTTCTTCAATACTTGCTTATAAAGAGGGAAGGACCTTTCACGTGAATAGTACTTTTTTTTTTTTTTTAAGAGCAATAAACAAAAAAACTACCCAAATCACTCTTTAAGATAAATATAGCAAAAATATTATCCTAATAAGTGTAGCAATTACCACAGTTATTGTACTGTGTTTAAGTTTTCATACTAAGGCAAATGCTCAGTACAGGAATGTGTGACATTTCACAGAGATGAATCATGGTATTTTCCACAAATGCACAAAAGAATGTGAGGGTTTTTTTTCTGGAAAAAAAGGAGCCTTATTTAATAATACCAGTGTTGCTGTTTGGAATTATGTTCGAAAAAATAATCGATCTGGGGACACCTCTGAAAGATGAGAAATAAAAGAGAGACTTGATTCTCAGGCAGTGACTTCTGCTGCATTTTGCTGTAGCAAAATGGAAGCCTAAGCATCTTGCTTATCACTCTCATAAAAGTCATAAAAAGACTCTTTAACTCTATTTAATCTTTCCTATAACTCTGCTAAATGCCACTGTCATTTGAGAACTCTACTTTAAATGGCTAAAGGGAGTATGGAATCTATACAAATATATGATCATCAATGCCCAGATAAATATTTGCACAGTTCACAAATGCTTTTTGCATTGAACCATTGTTCTGAAAAATTCACTTTTCACTGTTGTTTTATATTTAGCAATGTCCTCCATTTGTGTCAACTCTCCCAAAGGCATCCACAAATTCAGATATTTTACATTTCCTACATTTTTTCTTCCCATTTTTTTTTTGCTAAATCTCCCAGTGTTTGTAATTTTCATTATTTAAAGAATCCATATACAGCCACTCAATTGAACTACCTTGATTTCTTCCTATGAAGGAACAAAATGTTGTACTTTAGTCTATTGAGTCTATCTATTGATGAATAAGGGAGACTTACTGACATTTGAAGAAATCTTTGGAAAAATACAGCAAACTTATATTTTGAAAATCTAACATACTTCCTGGGCCTTTCTTGACAGAGGAATTGTAATGAAAACTGAGATAGCCACAATTTATCTGAGTGGTACACTGGAGGTTAATGGAGAGGCTAATGGAGCAGAGGTGCAGGATTGCCACTAATCCGAATGGATGTACAAGGGGCCCCACTGCTAATCCATAATGTTATTAATCCAAAAGCACCATACTTTCATCACAAGTATCACAAATGGGAGACCAAATGGCCAAAAACTAGCAATGAACGTATTATGTGATGCAGATATAATGACACCAGTAAGATTTAATGGTAAAATTAACCTCTCTGTGGGCAACAAACCTTTGCCAGCCGTTGCATAGGGCTTGAATGCTACCACAGGTGTATCTTAAAGTTCCCCTTGTTATGTCTTACTTTCTGATCTCCTCCACTATTTGTGCTGACAGCCTGCATGTGGTGAAATGCTCTAGTGGTGTGGCAAATCTTTTTAAGATTTGCTAGCATTTGTTCTAATATGAAGTGAAAGCACTAACACAGATCCAAAGTAGTTCATCAAACAGGCAAGAATTGGACCTGAGCACTGCATCACAAAGTTCTCATCGTTCACTTTCTTATATCTTATAAAGTAACATGATATTACCTGAAAGGTTTGCTTCCACGTTACAACCAGAGTTGAAGAAGATTTGTATAAAACTGAACATTTCACATAAGTTCAAAAAACATATAAAATGATTTTTCAAACTCAGATGCTTGCATTGCTTTGCTAAGCTCTTTGGTCAAGGCATCTTCTGTTCTGCTAAACCAAGAGTCAAAGGGTTGCTAATAGTCTTCCTGGTCACCCCACTCGACTGCTGGATCATCATCCATTCTCAAAATAAGATAGGAGAGAAGCTGAAAGAGATTCTGCCACAACAGTAAAGAGACAAAGAAGGAGAGGTCGCTTACATCGATCTCACAGCGGTCCCCAGCATAGTTCACGTCACAGAGGCAGTGGAATTTGTTAAGCAGGTTCTGGCAGAGGCCTCCATTCAGGCATGGATCAGAGCTGCACTCATCAATGTCCTTTTCGCACCTACGGAGAAGAGTGAAAAAAAAAGTGAGATCCTGAAATCAGGTACGAAATGCATAAAACTGGCACATTTTTAATTCAGAAACATTTAATGAGGAGGCTGCTCCATTTGAAATCTGTAGTATATTTCCACATGTGTTTGTGGTCTTCAGAGAATCTTATTAACGACTTGATTAGCCTCTCTTAAATCTTGAACTTCCTGTGTTACTTTCAAACATAGATAGTTAAGCCAGAATTTCATTTCTGTGGACCATTTCCTGGTTAATGGTGCTTAGCAAAGTGAAATGAAAGCTGGTGTGTGGTTTTAGAGCTGGATACAGCACAAGTCCTGCTGAACACTTGCTGGTCCATTTTCATCGTTACTGCAAGCTGAGGGCACAATTTCCTTCTCGATAATTTAGATCTAAGTCAAACAAAAGCATATTTTTTCATGACTGAATTGTGCCCCTGAGAATTCACCCATTTCTTTTTTCAATTTGAAGTGTCAGTAGATGTCCAGCACAATCCCCTATACGGTCTCTCTGAGGGGGTGTGAGCACTGAGAATGTTAAGAAAGGCAGTTGCAGAATAAGGTTTTTAAAAGCTTAAATTTGTATCATTACATGCTTTTCAGTAATTCTGATGAGAAAAGAAATTTGAGTTCTAATAATTTCTTAAGGCAACAAACCGTTAATGAAAAGCATTTGCAACTGTTTAAAAACTGGTAACGATTTGGTGATTCTCTATCCTGACGAAGCTTCCCCTGAATTCCCTGCCTTCATTTTTTCAAATACTGATAATGGTCAATACTGTGTTTTTCCAGATAAATAATCACATTTACTATTGAAGCAGAATGTATGAAATTCACTGGAAATTACCAGGAATTGTTTTGTTTAATTATATCCATAAGCACTCAAGACATTGTTAGTGTTAGATTAGAGAAGTGCTGTTCTTTGCATTAAACACTCTTAGCTGGTTTTCTTTATTAATCCATGAAAAAGTTTCAACCACTTCCTCCAATGATAAATTATATTTATGTACATCAGAAAGCTGAAAATTAAGTATTAATGCAATCCATAAAAATTAAATACCTATGAACTTCCCTATGCAAAACTGAAAAAACAAAATACAGGAAGACTTTTAAACCTAACTCTCTTTGGTGATTTTGAAAATTGCCTGAATTCAGTGAAATAATTGTTTTCAAGAGATAGCTATGTTTCCTTTTATTTAATCTTTTCAAGTATTATTTGATATTTCTTTTCTTCCTGGTAATCCCAAGTCAATCAATTGACATAGAAATACACCCTTTTTTTTTCTTTTTTTTTTTTTTTAACGTTGTACATCATTAGTTTTCTTAGGGATGAAATACTGTCTTGAAGCCAAAATGCCTGCTTTACTATTCTAATCAATAAATAGACTGAAGGATTTTGTTTTGAATTTTCTTGTTAACTGATACATTTGAAATTGTTCTGAAAAAAAGAAATGTCCACTGTTTGAGCTGAAATTTTCTTTTCTTATGTATTAAGTTCTGCAAACAGAAATATTCCTGGTTTACAGTGTGTCAGCCTGGAGGAAAAGAGGACAAATAGTCAATTTTAGACATTTGAGAAGAATGTCTTGCTTTGATTGTCAGTTATAGTGCAGTATGCTTGGTGCAAGGCTGCTACTCAATATGAGGATCACGGGAACCATAAAATAGACATTATTGCCAGCCAGTGGAGTGGATGTAAGCAAGGCTCATTCCCAGAGCTGCACTTAGCAAGTTGCCTGGCAGGGGAAGGAAGAAGGAAAAAGCACTTTGACTTATCTTGAAGTCCTGAAAAAAATACACACTGAAGAACTGCCTGAGAACATGCTTTTATTATTTTATTATTTTATTTCTTAAGCTTTTTTTTTTTTTTTGTAGTGTGGCATGCAGGCCTTCTGGCTGAGTAAAAGAGTACAGTGCAGATGTGTCAGCCAACTACACTGCACAATGGGTAGGTGGAAATTTTCATCTGTCCTTTTTGGTTTACTGCACGGGTTCCACAAAGTCAGTGAATTAATCGGATTTTGAAAGAATGAAAACCATTTGTTGAAATGCTGCTTTGTGTTTGCAAACCTGGCACAGCTTGATCCTGCTGAATCTTTGGATATTGCACTCTGATGTAATGTTAATTGCACTGCAAGCAAAAGTCATTAGTTTTCTGTTAATGTTCTGCGTACCTTTACTTACTATTCAGAAATTTTCCACTACTTCAGGCCATATTATGACTGGGATGATGTCCTCTTATGTTTTTACAGCACTTGATGCACTGAGACCTTCAGACCTCCCTGCTGCAGAGGTGTTTGTAGAGAATCAACAAGTGGTACGTGATCATGCAGCAAACTATTGTACTACATACAAATTGGGATGGCCCCTTCTGTTTCATACTGTAATAGGTAAGAAGTATTTCTCAACTTTAATTTTAAATAATAATTCTGTTTTCATATTTTGGCATTCAGTAAAGAAAATAACACTTCTACATATTTCACGTCATGTTATCCCTGTAGGAGAATAGATTGTTTATTTACAATAGATGTATGTGAAAATAGGACAGCTTGGCTTATTTATGTGTCAGTGTATTCTGGCTGATTTTTATACATATATGAATAGGATATATGTGTTTATGTGTGCCTATATATAGAAAAATAACATTCTAGTGTGCCTACATACAACAATGGCATTGAATCCAAACAGCAGGAGTTGTACAACACTCACTAAGAAATAAAGGCTTGTACTGGCATTAGTGGTGCTGTATTGGACTGACCCTTGCTGAGTTAATTTGTAATTTTTGCCTAAGTAAGACTGTTATACTTTCAGGCCCTGAAAGGTGCTCAGGCAAAGAACTGCTACTCTGAAAACCAGCTTTTTCTGTATTTCTGCAGGAGGGTAGTTTCCCTATAGATGGTGCACCCTTGGAATGACTTTTGCAAGAACTGTTCCATACAGTGAAGCATCTCACCTTTCTCCAGCAAACCCTGGCAGGCACACACAGGCCAGCTTGCCTCCAAGATCAGTACAGTTGCCATAATTGTAACAGGTGAGATTTCTGTCTTCATTCCCACAAACTGTATAGGGTAATCTTCGATATCTGGATAAATAGAAAGGCAATGACAGCTGTTATTTGCTCTCTCCTTGTTCACTTCTGAACGTCTTGTGTTCTGGAAATACACACAGAACTTGTGCCTCCCTGGTTTTCTCCGTCATAGGGAAACCCCAGGCCTATGTGTGCTCACAGGACAGGTGCCTGGGCTGGCCATGCCTGCATGGGGAGGGTGGGTGCCAACACTACACAAGGGCAGAGCTGGTGTCTGGGACTGCACAGTATGCTTGGGTCCACTTATTTAACTCCCTGAATTTGAAGTTGCTTTCCCAAGGATGCACTAAGTTCTGTCACCAACCCCAGAGTCACAACAGCTTGGGTCACGTTGCAGCGTGTGGCTGCAAAGAGTAGAAGGATGTTGGAAAAACTAACATTTTTTCTTGCAATCTAATCTCTTAAAAAAAATAAAATAAAATCCTTACATTCAGACCAACATGACTGTATGGTGAAAATAACTAACTGCTGGTAGTAGGTCAGAATATCAAACTGTATCATTTTTAGGGACTTTCATTTAAAAATTAAATTAGAAGGAAGAGATTCTTAGCTGTAGTAACTGTAGAAATTAGCTGTTTAAGATCTTTCAGAAGGGAGAAACGTACAGTGTGCAGAGAAGGGCAAGTGAAGGGAGAGCCTGCACCCCTCACATTGGAGTGTCTGGGAGGAACTGTAAGCAGTACAGTGAGATCAGCAGATGTGATGCATGCAGTGGGCAGTGTGGTGCCACAGCCAGCAGAACTGCTGGGCTGAGAGAAGCCTAGAAGGAAAAGACATACCTAGCAAACATGCTATGGGTGGGCAAAAAAAGTTTTTTACAAACTCTTCTGTACTTCTTTCTCTTACCCACCCACTAAGACTTTCACTAGTTTGCTGTTACTCAAATAAAACATAGTTTCAGAGATTCAAAACCTTTTCAGAATCCTTGCAATGCATCTACCTCAGCTGTCCAGCTGACTTGTAATGCTGCCACTGAGGAGCTGTATGACTCAGGCTGGCAGCAGAGCTCTGCCTTGCTCCCCACCTCTCTGCAATCTGCCATCTGTCTCCATCTGAGCTGGTGCCTCTCCGCTCTCTTTGTCCATATCTAACTGATCTCTATGGCTTTCTGTACTGCAGACTCTTTGTACATCAATCATACAGCCACAGTTAGTATACAAGTAGATGCGCATCTTATAATGTATAGATCTGTAATGTACAGTTTATTAGATGTGCATTTAAATGGAAGCATCAGTGGTGTAACAATCTCTCAGATGAGACCTGAAAAAATTCATATGGACCTACCTAGTCTGTATTACCTGCAAAGCTTTCCAGTAAAGTTACCAGCACACAGGCATGAATATCCATGAATCCCATCTATGCAGGTGGCCCCATTTGCACACTGGTGGCCACGGCAGTAGTCTATGTCCTCCTCACAGTTGAACCCTGTGTAGCCAGGTTCACAGACACACTCATAAGAGCTGATCCCATCTGTGCAGTTTCCATGAATGCAGGGGTTGGAGAAGCACTCGTCGATGTTGGTCTCGCAGTGGGTGCCTGCCCACCCTGGGGGACACATGCAGCGATAGGAGGTGTACAAGTCTTCACATGTCCCCCCATGCATACAGGGCTCTGAGCTGCAGGCATCCTCCTGCAAGCAGCCCGTAAGAACAGGGTTTGCAGATATTTTGAGAAATTGTTCCTCTTGAGGTTTTTTAGTCAGGACATCAGCATTTTCAAAGTAGGAGAGATAAATTCCACTGATTTCTATGGTGCTCATGCATCCTCGCAGGCCATCCAAATTGTCAAAAGCCTTGTCAGCCACATGGATGTCTGTCTCTTCTCTTAGAAAGTTCAGACTTCCTGTAGCAGTTGTACTGGTTGCAGTGTCCCTGTTGTCAATACTCATGTGCCACCTCGAGAACTGAGACAGGGGCTCCAGCATGGAAACCATCACTTGGTGCCACTTCCCATCACTCACGGTCAGCGAGCTAGTGAGAGTCAACATGTAAAAGTTGTTGCCACTTTGCAGTTGGAAAACCAGTTTGGAGTTGTGAATGCTGATGATAACAAATTCAGGCTCCTTCTCCGCATACAGCAGTATCACATTTGTGTCCCTAGTTCGAAAGCCAAACACGATATTGGTGAGGCCTCTGCCGATTTTCCCGTTGCTTCTGTAAAATATAGCGCTGCTTCGGCCGCTAAACACTGCATTAGTGAGACCTGTGCAAAGATAATAATTGAGAAACCAGGCCAGCTTTAAACCAGTCCACCTGGACAGCATCTCTTCAGAGAGATGAAGATCCCATGATCCCCATCACTTCAATCCTTTTGTTTCTACTGAAAAGCTATCCAATTCCATCAGTGTCCCAGTTATTCTTGCTTGCCTCTTATGGCTGCAAAGATTACAGGGCAGTGCTACCTGAAACTCTAATCCTACAGCTTCCAGCTCATTTCCCTTTAACGAGGGAAGGGGGACAGCGACTGTGACCCACTGACTCTGGCCTTATTTACTGTAATGCAAATCAGAAGTAGGTCTACTAAAACCAGTGAGCTGATGTAAGTACACAAGTGTACATAAGAGTTGAACCTTCCTTATTCTGTGAGGGTAGCCCAGAATAAGCACTTAGCAAAGAAATAATAGCTGAAGACCAGGTTACCATAGCCAGTGGTGCTGCACTGATTTTGCCTGAGGTGCTCAGTCTCTTTGAACAGGCTTACAAATGTAGCCAAATTTGACTTAATGTAACTGTATCAATGCTTTCTAAACAGTATTTGGTAAGAGGTTTTACTGTCGTCTGTACCACTGAGTATAAGTTTTTGTCATTATTAGACTCTCCTTGCATCAACTTCTTGAAGAAGCTTTCTCTCTGTCTGTTTCTTCTTGTGTGATTTGTGTGTGTGTGTGTGTGTTTCATGATTAGGTTTTGGTTTGTTGCTTTGATTTTTTTGTGTGTGTGTATAGTTGGAGTTTGTGTTTTCCTGAAATGCAGAAGTGAATTTTGAGAGAACATATTTCATGCCAGCATTAAATATGTGCATTAGAGAAGGCACAATTATTTTAATTACAGCTGTAAATATTTACAAGTGCTGCAGTGCTGATTCTAACAATCTCAATGAAAACAGCACCATATTGATCTGCATGCAAATTGCCCATGATAGAAATCTTCTGTGGACAAACCTTCTCATTCCTAAGAATCAACCATTCTAGCAGACTCTGTGTATATTTCTCTGCCTTCGGTAGCAAAAAGAGAAAATATGGCTTCAAAATCCCTACTTGCTTATATTCTGCTCTAGTTCAGGGTGGTAAGGAGAAAGAAAGAGAAGGAAAAATGTGCAGGCTGGCTAATGTTCAGTCAGTTAATGGCTATCAATTTTCAAACAAATAGACCACTTGGCATGCTGCTTCTTGCCAAGATACTAATTTAATAACTGTACAGCTGGTTTTGAGGTGACTTTTTACAACGATATTAAACACTAAAGAATATAAAGTGATGCAATTTATGTCATGTTGCTTTTATCTTCAGGAGGATGGAGAACATCCTAAGTTGATTCAACACTGCATGTCGTCTTATCTCTTTGCAGTGGAGGGGTGTGGGGTACCCTTGCAGCCTGGCAATGTATCAATCTGTTCTGCAGCTTTGACATGCTCTCTTGGATAAGTCAAAAGCAAAGGTTACATAAACATCAGTGCCTGCATCGTTGGGTCTAGCTGAAAATTTCTGATGTTGATCTGCCAGGATATTCTTATTAATGTAACTTACAATTGTTATTGTTACTGTTATTTCTGTTATTATACTGGGATGCTCCGAAAGTAATGCCTCTTATTTTATTCCTTTTGCCAGTGATGTCAGAGGGAGATGTTGGTGATATGACAGTAGAGGTCGAAACTTCCTGCCCATATCCTATTATATTTTTTTTTTTTCTGTGCAACAGACAGCAGCAGAGAAGTTGTCTGACAAATTGGCATCTGATATGGAAGTGTTTAGGAAGCAAAGGTATGTCTCTGAATTCTTCCATGCAGGGAAAAAATGGCACCCACTGACATTCACTGATGTTTGCTGAACATTTATGGAGACAAACTATGAATGAGACTGCAGTGAAGAGGTGGTGCATTTCAGCAGTGGTGGCAGCGACCATGGATCAGCTCCACTGGTGCAGATTTTCACAAGTGTAGCATGCAGGCTCTTGTTCATCACTGGTGAAAATGCTCAGCTACTGGTGGTGACTGTGTTGAAGAACGGTGCTTTGTAGGTAAGAATTTGCTCTCTTAAATATTGTCCTCTTTGTAGCTGTTGTCATTTTCATGAAAATAAAATAGGAGGCATTACATTCAGAGCAACCCACATACTATAGAAATAGCATTGAATTTTTAAAGAAGTGAATATTTAGTTTTAAGAAAATACTGATGAAAATTTCAATTGTTTCTAATTTCCAAAAATGACAGGAATAACTGAAATTTACCTACATTCAAATCCTTGATGCACCAGCTTGCATTGTGCTTCATGAGGACAGGGCCCAAGCTCACACCACTTAACTTCCTCACACGCTTTCCCTGCTGTGTTAGGGGGGCATGTGCAAGTGAAGTCATCCCAGATTGAATAGCATACACCACCATTGTGGCAAGGACTGGACTGTGGGGAAAAAGAAGAGACAATCAAAGTATGAATCAATCTTGGTGGACTCACAACTCTAGGAATGTAGGACTTTTTGTCAAGAAGGAAAATTCTTTTTATATCCAATGGAAAGCAATAGAGATTAATACTAAGACCACACAGAACATTTTAATAATTTGTGAACATAGTATTGTAACCTTAAAATATTTTCATTTTCTTCTATGCCAGTACATTTTGGTGATACTATCCATCATATTTATCATAATTTTGCTATATCAAAGCATATAAAAATCTGCTCTTTCTAGCATTTTTACACATTTTGCTAAGATGTTATTATCATGATATATTGTACAAAAAGTTACGTTGTTTTTTGTTGTTGTTGTTGTTGTTTTTTTAATTCCCCATGATAAACACATGAAAATGCGATGAAAAATATCATTCTTACCTTGCAGAGGTTGTCACCACTGCAGCCTTGGGTGACGTTGATCAGGGTTCGGTTGATAAAAGAATTCAGTGAATTGGTGAGGGGGAAGAATTCCAACGGCTGGTTATTCACTCTTACATCCTGGATGCAGCCTTTGAAATACTTGCCATTTCTATCAGTTTCTCTGCTATCTGGTAGGCCTCCGATGTAAAGAAAGTCCTTACTTTGGGTGGTTAGTACTGGAGTAGAAATAAAGCCTAAGTATTGAGAGGATTGGAATAATTCCAACAGATTTGGTTCTATTTTTAATGTTATTAGGTAGAAATTTCCATCATTTATAGGATGTTTTCCTAATAACTTCATGGAATTTGGAGCTAACATTGTGAGTTTCCCACCTTCCAAGTAGACTCTTACATAGAGACAGGTACTGTTTCTCAAAGCCAGTAACAAGCCAGAGGATTTGCGTGTTCGGACAAACATTGATATATTCAGATTTTCATTCTCAGTAGCATCAACAGAAAAAGCAGCATAGCCTGAGGAGTCCTCAGATCCAAATCGACCTGGAATATACTCTTGGGATTAGCAACAGGAGAAAAGGTGAAAAAGGAAAGAAAGAGGAAAAATAAAATAGTCAGGGCTAAATGACAAAGGAACCGGTATAATGATCAAATAGCTACTTCTGGTTATATACTTTACTTATGGTAGTAAGATGTGCTAGTATGTATGGATGAATAAAGACTTCTTCTGGCCATAAATAGCTTCTATTCCAAAACTCCTGTCAGCTTCCATGGCTGTAACATTAGGCCCCAGTACAGGACCAGATGTTATATTATTGTGCACAATTTTCCCCTTTATCATGCTCTATGTGATACTATGTTTGCTAACAGGTTAAGAAGGACAAATTTCTACATTTTCCTGGATTAGTCATCAGAAAAATCATTTAGAAAAGAAGCTACTTCCTTTGATCCTCTGATGAGGGAAGTTTACATAATTCTTGACCTTCATTGATTTTTTATGTTGTATTGTCAAAAGCTGCTTAGCAAAACCCTCTTGTGTAAAACTTACAGATAGCACACCTATTTTGTCTTGCACAGGTTTTTCAACAGACTCAGTAAGTTCTAATATGAGTTCTGCTCACTCCTGAGTGCTTATAATGCTACTGTGTCATGGGGAAAAATGAGCTAGGATTGAGTGAGCCTTTTTATTTTTGGGGGCTTATCAATTAAAATGATTAAACCAAAACCATCTGTCTCTCTGCCTTACTCTTTATTTTCAGTAATGATTTTCAGACTCGTAAGGATATAAAATATGTAGTCCAAAGCGTATTTTATTCTGATGAATCATCTCATTAAAGCACAACAAAGTGTTTCTATTTTTGCACTTCACGTTTCATGATCTTGTCCTTGGTATTATAGACTTCCTGCCTAAACACTTTCAAGAGCTATTTTTTAATATATCAAATTCATAGAAAGAATAAACCAAGCATTTTTTTTTTAAATGTTCACATAGCTGAACAGTCAGTTCCCTTTTGCACAGTAAAACTCCTAGTGTGAGACCTCATGGGTCAAGTTGCTGCCTGCAGCACTGCTTTTTTAAATTGAATACGTTAAAAAAAAGCCATGAAAATAGGGTGCTGAATGTGAAGATCCTAGCAGACCTTTAATAATTATACTTCACTACTATGTGACACAGTTGTATTATTTGGCAATTATTTGGAAGGAATAAATCCCTTCGTTGTTCATAAACAGTTTCATAAATCAAATTTCAAAAATTTTAGTACTAAGAGTAACATTACCTCTGTTTCTGAATCTACTTGTTGAAAAGTCTGGCCTGTAGAAATAATTATTTATTGAAACGGGTGTTTTGAGGCATGCAGCTTCTTCAGATAGTACCTTCTTGGGAAGGTAGTACTACAGACTGAACCATACTTTCATGTAGGTAAAAATAAAATTTCTGCTGGAATTAGTTACTGTTAGTTCTCAAAAAGGTATTTCATGTTTGCAATCATTTTGTTGTATTTCTATTTATAAATACGTATATATACACATGATATATATACATATATATATCATCAGTCTGATCTTCTGCTTGATGAGATGGCTAGCATCACCTTGGTCAGTATTAACCTCTTGGGTCGCAACATCTGGATGTTGATCAAAATGAGTCAACATCTGTTTGTTATTTTGTGTATGTAGAGAAAATATTGCCTCTTGTCAATTAAATACTTGGCAGCAACTTTTCTTCAAAAAGATGCTAGCATTTCTTACGTTATCCCTTGCCACACGTCTCCCCCACTCTGCTTTTTAAGCAACCCAGCATAGTCCTTTAAAAATGGCATATATCTAGAACCTGTGTATCAAAGTGGCATGGTGCCACGCATTGCAAAGAATACTGTGGTCAGTGGAGAGAAGAAAAAAAAAAGGAAAAAAAAAAGCTTGCTTTCTAATCATTCTCAACAGTTGTAATGCCAGCATAAGCCTCTCCTGGCCCTGACTGGTTTTAATTTCACTTCATATAAGGAGGCCAACATATTTACCAGATGTTGTCCTATACTCCAAAGTTGCTTTCCAAACCTTTGGATAAATTACAGCTAGACTTCAAAGAAGTCTGTTACAATTACCTCTCAGACTTTGTCATTTTGCAATAAGGGAAAAAAACACTATTGAAAAGTATTGATACCTATCAAGTACAGCATACAAAATGAAACTGTCTTTAAACATTTTGAAGTGCATTTCAAGCCACAGCTTTCTTCAGCAGTGCCTCTGGCAAGCCCCTGGGCCCAGCCATTCAGCGGCGGTAAGGCAGTGGACTGTCCTGGCTGCAGCGCGGCTGTGCCAGCCCACACCAGTACAGTCTGTCTGTTCTCATCTGACCACGGCGCTGTTGGTGCTCCTGAGATGTGCTTTATTCAGCTCCAGAGGGCTACTTGCTGCTGCTCCAGCAGGGATGTGGGACAGCAGGGGACCTGCTGGTGTCCTCCCGCTTTGTCTCAGCCTGTGCTTAGAATGATCACTTGTAGCAGGAAATGTGCTACAGGCACTGCCAGCTATTGAATCCCCGCTTCACTGCCAAAGAGGCTGTGTTCTGACATGTGCTCTTCTGCTCACTAACACATGGGCACGTCTCCCTCTGGCCCTCAGCAGCTCTCTGGTAGCACAGCCTTCGTTAGTCACTGCCCGGAGCTGTGCAGGACCTGGCTGAGAAGGAACGGCCTCTGAGGACCTGGATTCTCCTCAGGCTAATCAGATTAAGTTAATAGGATAATCTTGTTCATTTTGTAAAATTGGAATCTGTATGTATTTTTTTTAACTTGCAGTGCTTTGCTGGCCTTTCATGGCCTTAAATGAGTTTCTTTATGTCAGCCTAGAGAGGATAAAATTCTGAAAGAATGCTTTGAAAATAAGACTTTGACTCCAAGTGACTTGGTTGCTTTCAAATTTTACTTGGGGTGCATAACCTCCTGTGAACTGCAGTTTTCCAGAGTTTATGGAGTGCTAAGAGCGCTAAGAAGATTTAAAAACTGGATGAGTAGAATCCCCCCAGTTTGGCCTGACTTTTTGTCAAGCTGAAAAGCAGCCTTCCTGGAAAATAACTAGAAAATAATGAGCATGTGCTACTGCTGACCCCTCGTGCTTCTTACCGGTGGGCAATCAGTTCCAGAGATCCCTAGGGTCACGCTGGTTCACCCCTGAGACCAGGTTATGTTTTCAACACCCCCTGACAGCACTGACGGCTTCACATGCTCTTACCTGCTCTGCAGCTCGGCCCCGCGTACGGCCGGTAGCAGTCACAGTGGTAACTCAGCCACAGGTTGGAACAGCGGCCCCTGTTCTGGCAGGGGTTGTTTTCACACCAGTCCTTCTTCCTGCATCCTGTCTTGACGTTTAAAGAGGATTCAGGTGATGCATTCTCTGGAGTAATAACATTCAAGTCTATTTCAATATCCTGAAGACAGCCTACAAATGAAGGTGTAGAATGTATATTATTGATGTTAAGCTGAGAGCTGCTGCTAATGTTCCCCACTGGTAAGCTGCCCAAAAATGTGCTCTGAAATGCAAGCCTCACGTGATCATTATCTATCATAGCAGAAGTTTTATTGACACATGATTCTGCACAAGAGCTGTCAAGTAAATTAAGAGTAACAGCTCTTGCCAAGGTTACCTCCACTGAATGCCATTCTCCATCACTGACATTATGTGAAATATGCAAAAGAGCCCGTGGCTGGTTTTTGACTTGCACGGACAAATGTAAGTAGCCATTCAGTAACTCCAGCTTCACAAATGTGTCTTTCTCCCCTCGGTAAAACAGAAAGGCTGACGGTTGCACAGTCTGAAACCTCAGGTTTATATTATAGGAAAATTCCTCTGTAGTGGTTGTGGGATTCTTCAACCAAAGGAAACCATTTCCTTGAAAAGAAAATGTAGTTACAGTTTCACAGTGTATTCCAGTATATCCAGGTGAGCATATGCAGCTGAAGCCATGATGGCCATTTTTTAAATTCGGGATACATATTCCATTATTTTGGCATTGTTGATCAGTACAGCCATGGAGGATTTCTGTGCAGTTCCAGCCGCCGTAAAAAATCCCTTCTTTGTCTGCAGGTGGGCAATGGCAAGTGTAATTCCCAGGAAAGTTCTCACAGATACCACCATTTTGGCAAGGGTTCGTGTGACATTCATTGATGTCTTCATCACAGTGAATACCTAAAGAACAAAGAATTAGACATTCTGGATTGAGCACCTAGAGCCTAGAATGGCGTTTTTAAGAATATGTGCTCTGTTAAATCATCTTTAACTTAAGAGTGAAATTCACAGATTGAGCAGGGAGCTGCTGGAGCTTGACCCCGCATTCTATCAGAGATCTGTGTAGGATGCACCACTCCACAATGAATGTGCAGTTGTCACATTTCAGGAGTAGATGCATACTGTAGTTTTTCACAAATGAACAATAGATCTCAGATCTCCTAAAAAAAAAGGAAAGCAGAGGTGACTTCTGGCCTATCAGCTATGATCTCAGACTGAGACAAGAAGGATGTGAGAGAAGCAGTTGGAGGGATCTGAACCCACGTGATCCAGAAAAATATTCCTGGTGTATCTACTGTGGAACGTTCTTTACCTCTACTATTTTCAAGCTATAAAGTAAGAAAAGAGGAACAGATCATCTTCCCAAATACCCCAGAGATGGCAATTAAAGCATGAGTGATGCAGCCTCCTACTTCCTCTTCTCTCAGATAGTGCTTGTTTTCTGGTATACAGGATAACAGGAGTGCTCCTCATCTTACCTTCACTGCAATTTGATAGGTTGTGACCCAAGTACGTATACTGGGTCAGGCTGCACAAAGGAAGACAAATCTGTTCGTCTTGTAAAACTCATCAGCTTATCCCTCTGGACTACTGACCATCTACAAAATGGTAATTATGGTAACTTTTCTCAGGAGCACTTGGATTGTTCACCCACTAATAGGGAACGTGAGCTAGGTTTAGACTGTCATGAGACAGGTTAGTTTTACTCTACTGATGATGTGTTGCTGTGCTAGTAAGCATGAAATGGATCAGGGAAAACATCTTTCTTGTCTTGAAAGCATTCAAAATATCCAACTGCTTTTTTGAAAATTTATGCGAAGTACAACCCTTAATATTTGCACTGTTCTAGATAAGAATATGAAATAGTAGCTTGAAAGATAACTGCAAATTATCAACAGCACAAAGTAATTTATAAGCATAATGATGTCTGTCCCTGCAGCAGAATTGCCTTCAGCAGCTCCTTGCTTGCTCACCATATGAGGTGCCTGCAAGAAGAGACTCACAGAGCCACAGCCAGGTACTAGGCACCACACCTAGTTTTACTTACAAATTCACATAGAGCATTATTTTATAGCAAAATACAGTCATTTTTTCATGGAAAATTACAGAGCAGTATTCAGCCACAATGAATAGATTCAGATAGCAGCAGATAAATGTATCTACTAAGGCTAATTCCCTGCCTGTCCACTTTATTCAATCACAGCTGTAACTGTATCCATCTTAGAGAGAGGTAAGTTATAGAGGGAACTCAGAGTTGGCTGAGATTGTTTTTAAGATTAGGCAAAGTGAAGCGGTCACAGTACATACGTAAAAGGCCCTCTTAGCAGTGATCTTCCTCATTACAGTGTTCTCCTTTATTATAGCACAGTTTCTGCTTGAAGCCTCAGAGTATCAAACACCACCGTGCCCTCCCTGGTCTGACAGCAGGGTTATACGCAGCAGTCTCTCTGCTTTCCAGCCAGGCTTATATTTATTCCAACATGAGATGTCTGTATACCTTAATGTATAGTGGCATCTGGCAGAAATATGAATCATCAGGACTGACTTTCCCAAAGTGATGTGCGCTTCACAAACCTGTTCTGACTGGGGGCCAGAACAATGCCTGCTTTGCCCGGTTTATGGCAATTTCTGTGTTAGCGACTTGTCCTGCTTTTACTGCTCTGGTATATGAAAAGTGAAGTCACCGTGAGCTGTTTCCTGTTTCAATCAATGTTTTAGTACATCTCCTGCTTTGACATCCAGAGCGATGTGTCCACAGGTCTTGTAGACTGCTCGGTCTTACTGTGACAGCTGTAGAAATATGGGTTTCATTGGGTTTTTGTGTCAGAGAGAAAAAATAATTCCTAAAAGCACTAGGATCAGGTTTGTACTTAGCTTTGCTACTGAGCCTCAGAGTGATCAGTGCGAACGTAAGGATTTATAGACTGGGGGCTACTGTTAAACCTTTCATAGAAAAAAATATAAAACCACCATTTAAAAAGATCAACCAAGTGAATGGCATGCAGTGGTGCCTGCCCAGCTACTCTACTGCTGCATGTTCCACTCTGTGCACATTTGTTCAGTATTCCAAGCCCCTGCAAGGCAGCACTTCTGCCTGCAGCCGCACACTGTAGGAGGGACTTGTCCACAGGCAGCTGAAACATGCATGGACCAAACCCAATGCAATGTTCAGTGTCTGTGTCGTTCTTTACCTCATCAAACTAGAAGTAAAATTAATGAAAAGTTTTCATGAATGTGCTAAACTTGTTTGGAAATTGTATGTTTCTGTATTTAAATTTAAAGATAACACTTTTGTAACACAAATATTGGTGTCTAACAGAGACATAGCAGCAGTTTTTATAATGGAGACATGCTATTTTTGGTGTGTTATTTTCCCATAGAATGTGAAAACATCAGTTTCTAACTGCAAAGTGACTTTCATAGCATGACTTCATTATGTGCAATTTCATAAGTGTTTCAGTGTCAGAATACAAATGCTTATTTTTTAAGTAATTACGTTAATAATATGTTGTGAAATAATGATTTTGGAGGTACCTATATACATATTGTTTGTACATACATATAAACACAGATTCAAATGGCTGATATTTTATAATAGGATTAGCAGAAACAGAAACATAAATATAGGTCGCAACAAAAAGCAAGCAAATCATTTTTTCATATCAGGAATAAATAAATCAGTTGTTCTTACAAGTGGGTGGTTGATACTGCTTGTTATCTGCCAACTGCTATGCAAGCAAAGACCACTGTCACTCAAGATAAAAGCACTCTAGATAAAAGGATTAGCCAATATTTATAGAGCTGTATAAGCAGTTCAAATAGCTCAGGTTGGAGGAGAAGCTAGCATGTAAAAAAATGAATTCTGAAAAGCAACTGTGAGGAATGTTTTTTTCAGGGTTGCGTACATTTGCTCAGCTAAACGTATTTGTATTTTTAAAGTGAAGTCATTCAGCATTTTCTCTTCTAAATATATTACATGCCTACCCAAAATTTCAGGAAAATATATTGTGAATATTTTTTATCCTATTCCTATAGGTAAAAAGTATTTCTTCCTCCTACAAAGCTTCATTCAAAACAGAGATGAAGCAGCCCCTTGGACTATGTTTGAAAAGACCAGTCAAAGCTTTGTCGCTTTTTTTCACCTGCTACTACTACAGGGTAGCTATTCTCTACCCATTAATCCTTTAAACTATCTGCTTCAAATTTAGCAGAAAAGCTTTTCTTACAGAAGCAGAATGACAAAAGCAATTTTTCAAGCCTACTTCTACTAAGCACCTCTAATTTTCATATCTACTAAACCAATATAAAACTGTTACCCAAATTACACTTTTCATACACACCTTTAGTTAGAAATTGCTTTCCTGTTCCTTGACACTTAATAAATACCACGCAAGTACAAGCAAGCAGTCTGGACAGACAGCTGTGATGTGTTCTATACAGCCTAAGTGCACATATTAGTACACAAAAAGAAAATATTTACCTGTAAACATTGTCATTAAAATGATGTAAACCTGTATCCTAGTTGCAACCATCTTTTTCTGAAGTAAAAAAAAATGGTTTAGCATTTATGCAGTCCACAAAGTAAGTTTCTGCAAAATTCAAAGCAGTGCTTGATATAAAGGCGTCTGTTCCAGGATTAGCTTGCTCCACTTCTGTACCTGCTGATGTAGTCTGATGGTGTATTTTGCCCAAGCCAGATCAACAAGGCTTAAAGTAAGACTCATTAAAGTGCTTACGCAATAGATATGTATTCTACTTACATTCCTTTTCAGAACATTCAGTCTGAGTATGCTCGCACTGAACTCTGGTGGTGTTTCATTGAGAGTCACATTTCGAGGTTCTATTCAAAACTGATTTGTCACTCTTTTGATAGGACTTTTTCTTTTAAGGGTCATATTTTCTTTGGTTTTCAGGTGGTTTATAAAGCCAGACCAATCTTTTTGCAGTCACTGCCATTCAGAAATCTGTCTATGTCCGTAAGGAAACAGACAAGACCTACAGTTTGTCTGGTTTCTTTGTTTTGTAAAGTGTTTTTGTTCCACTGACTTTCACTGTACCACTCACCAGAAATTAGCATCTGCAGATTTTTGAATGTGCTGAAGACAGAAAAAAAAATCATTTATCAAAATATTTCTCTTCTTCAGCTCTTGAGAAAGACATTCTGATTTGGCCCTAATTTAATGACTGAAAAATAATGATAGAGCTTGGTAGATTGAAGTATTTATCTGTGACAACAGACTTTTTCATATCACTTTATTTATATTATGAATTGCATAAAATATTGCTAGAGCAGTAACCCTGTGCAGTTACTGGAATACTTCCAAAGCAAGATAGCTTTTTCCCAGGTTGCTATTTATACCATCCAACTGACACATGACCAGCTATGCATTCAGATCTGTTCTTTTGGTAGTTTCCCATTTTAAAACTTCAACAATGGATCCTGAAGTCTCTTTCTGACTTATTCACTCCAGAATATAAAAATAATCTTATCACTGAGTGAGAAATTATCTCTATGGTCCAGATCTTTGTTCACAAAGGTTTGATCAAGTTGTGAAAGCTCCCAGGAAACTGTTTATTTTTTTTTTGCAAACAGGTATTTATCAACTCCTTCCCCTCCCTCAACTCATTTCTTCATTAATTAGGAGATTCCTGACTTTGTGTTAAATGTAGCTTTAGGTTCACCAGAAGACCTGCTCACAAGATACAATTTTGGATTCAGTTAATCTACAGTGCATGGTTATCTCCATTGTGGTGCCCAGAAAACTGCTTTTCCATACAGCCTGTGGCACAGAGTGATTATTCATATTCAAACATCATGGAGTAGGAATGTCATCCAGACTCTTTGAAAGGTAAGTAACTAAATTTTAAGCAAAAGGAAGTAAATGTTGACAAGTTATTAT